TAAATTTTGAGGGCGCCAGGGAGATGGCTCAGTAGAGTAAGCACTTGCCTGGCAAGTGCAAGGGCCTGAGTTCCATCCCTGGTTCCTCCAAAAATAAAAAAAATAAAAAGAATAAATTTAGTTTCCTTGAGGAAGTGGGAGGAAACTAGTCTTTTCGTATGTTCTTCCTTTCTTTGCTTCAGCAGCTCAGAGTACCCGAGAACTATTTTCTTAGGCCACGGTAACTATAAAGCTTTTTGTAAGTGCTCCTGTGGACCTCTGATATGAAATGTATTTTCTGGCACACTCTAATTATTCATGTAAACACGTATCACATATTGAGCATGTATCTCATAGATTAAGTCAAATCACTTTTGAATGCAATAGCTATTAATTATGTTACATAAAATAATTAAGGTTAATAAATGAATAAAGAATTAACATAAATTATATTTACTTTATATTTGTTGTAATTTTGCATACATTGGGTAACTTAATTTAACCATACTGCCACATGTAAACATTCGCCTCTTTTCCACCACTCTCCACAACGTCCAGGACCTCTCCTGAGTCCTACCCACTCCTGACAATCGCCACAGTGCTATTTATCTTAGCTCAAATTCACATACAAAATTTAGTTTTCTGGAATCTAACCATAGGCCATTTAATAAAGAAAATCTTTAGCTCAAATTTTCATAAGACTTAATTATAAGAAGAAAAGGAGTTGTGCTACTAATATTGGCGTAACGCTCGACGTCCCACACGTGGAAATAGAGCTAGTCGTTCTCAAACTCTTAGATTCTGACAAAGAAAAGTAAATAGCTGGTTAACTAAATGGGAATGAACGAATTGTAGAACATTATGATTACTCACTTTGTTACTAGTATTTATTTTTGTTAAGTCATATAGGTGTGTTAGCATTGTATAAAGTAATGATTGATTAAGCAATCATATAGAGACTTTAAAAAGGTTGTTATGTAATTATAATTCAGGAGGTGAGCTGAAAATCAAGTTGAATACATCAGAGCCAGGGAGATAGCTCAGCGACACAAGCACCTGCCTGCCAAGAGCAAGGTCCAGAGTTTGATCCCTAGTACCAAGAAAAAAATCCTCAAACTGAATATGTCATAACAGAAAAACAATGTATACTTACATTAGAATAAAAAATCAGTATTAAAATTTAAATTAGCAGTATCATTTATGAAACACATGTACATTCTATAAGATAAACCTATATGCTCACTCATTGTAAGGCTGAAATGAGTTGATACATTTAAAATATTTAAGACATCACTTTCCGGACAAGTAAGCAATCAACAAATACAAGCTTCTAACGTGTGGGTGAGATCCTTAAAAGTCTCTTTCATGAGTCTGATTTCATAGTAGTTTTGTAAAACTCACTCCCAGAATTTGTGTTAGTAATTTTATACTATCTCCTCCTACTATTTATATTTGCATATAATTATGTATATTCATATATATTCATTTATATGTAATATTCATGCAAAAGAGAGATAACTAGGAAAGCATAGTTAAATTCTATTATTTTTATTTTTTGATGGAACTGGGGATTGAACTCAGGGCCTTCCGCTTGCCAGAGAAGTGCTTATTCTACAGAGCCATCTCCCCGGCTAAATTTTATTATCTTTAATAAATACTATGTTATTTATATATGGATCACTTGATTCTTTAAATATATATGTATTTTATAATATATAAACTAGTAGTTTTCTCAAGGAATCTAATTAGTAAAGACCTGCACTATGCTTATTTAGCACTGTATATTAGGTTTAAAAAAATCACACCATTCCAAGCAACGATGCCAGATTCGAAGAGACAAAAGCCAGTACAAATGAACAGGTTTTAACAGTCACATACATTAGAGAAAAGGCAGTTATGGAGAGGACCGCTCTAGTAAGGAAAGCACAGCAAAAGCTGACTTGGGCAGCACTTCAGAAAGTGCCTTCATTTATGTATGTGGTCCTGCTTTCACGTTGCAGAAGATGAGGCTAGCACCGGTGGTGGAAACATTTCTAATTAATAATACACACAATCACGTTAATATACGCAAGGTACAAATCTTTATCTAATTATTATATACTGAATACCATAAAGGTAGACTCTGAAAAGACAGTAAGAAGTTGTAGCAATAAGTATTAATGTTACGTAATCAGTTTTAATAGTTTATAATTTTTTTAAATTTAAGATTTCAACACCTCATTCATGAGATTTCAATATTTAGCAAATGGTTAGCAAAGTATGCTTAAATGTTTTAATAATAATCTATATTTAGTAGATACTAGTATGTTTTGAAGTATTATGTGATCAATACTTAAATTTTTAGTTAAGTCACAACTGATGGATAAAAAGGATTAATGATTCCAAACTTAAAGCATGTAAAATCAATGAGCATTGCTTCACAAGTGCACATCAGTAACTAACAGTGTATTAACTACGACAGTGATGTTACTCTATCTGTCCATGACCCCGGCTTACGAAAATTATGATATAAAGGAAAATTGCCACCAAGATTTTAAATTTAAATCTCACTTAACCTTTTTCTTTTCATTTCCTTTTAGACTTCCCTTTTCTTTTTTCTCTTCAAATTACTGTATCAGGGCCAGGGAGACAGCTCAGTGGCATAAACACCTGCCTGGCAAGCGCAAGGTCCTGAGTTCAATCCCCAGTACCATAAATACATACATGCATACATACATACATAAGTGCATCCTACTCCCCAGAAAATCTGCAAACATCTCCAATTCCCAGAATCTCCTTACACTCACTCTCTTACACTCACGCTGCCACTCAGACACAGTGGAACACAGTTCCACTGAAAACTTTTCAGTATTTTTCTCTACTATTATTTTCATTTTTCACAAAGATCACCTGTGATAAAATAGAGCTAAACCTAAAATTATTTTTAGTAATCGAAATGTAAACATGGCCGGTGAGGTGGGCAAGCCAGCTCCAGACAGCATGCCGCGCGTGTCTTGTGCGTGCAGCTGACTTCAGCCTGGTGCCTGGCACCTCCTGTTCCTCTGTGCTACCTCCTGAATTAGGGGAGGGGGAAGGCAAGGAGGGGAAGGTGGTAAGACGGGACTGGCAGATTTTTGTGTACTTCCCACAAGGTTCAAGTTAAAAAATAAACCAAGGCTGCTCTGAGTAAAGTTGGGGCAGCTTCATGTTGAAGAGGGGTGGTCGTAGTGCCTTGTACCTTGACTTTGGAGGCGCACGTGCTCACCTCGGGGGCACATGTGTGATCTCAGGTATCATGGATCACTGCAGACAGCTTGGAAAACAGGGTCATTTGGGCACTGAGGATCTTCAAGAGAAGGTGTTTTGCTCCAAAGCATTTATGAAAGAACTTGGTGTAATGGCCTAACCCAGGAGAAAAGTTATTAATACATATCCAGATTGCTATTCTCACATCAGATACACAGACAGAAATGTAGGGTACAAAGAACTAGTGTGTGTCACAATCTCTAATTTCCTCTATCTTTAAAATGCTTCCATACTGGACAGAGGGGTGATTAGCGTGGTTGTTTTGTTTGTGGGTTACTTTATTAGCATGCACACTAAAAAGTATCGTGCTCTGTGACACCACATACTGGATCATTATCTAAAATAAAAGGAATACATTTAGGCTGCTATCTTTGTAAATTATCTACTGGATGTGCTTAGCCAGATCTCTTTTTAAAATAATATTTATATTTTCTAGGCACTAGTTCAGCATTCTAACAGCTGAACTCATTTTAAACCTAATACTCTTCACATTTGATAATATAGTGTCTAGATTCTAGGTGAGTTAGAATGGATACATAAGGAAGATTCTACAGAGAAAAACCAATCATAGCATCCTTCAGGGCATACTTTCAACTATTATCAGAAGAACAATTTTATAATTTCTGCATCCAGTAAAGTTGTTTATACTTACACAAAGGCTGTCTTTGATTTTTACAAACTGTGATAATCAAAAATTTAAATTTGAATAAAATTACTATAGAGTTGCAGCTGAATAATATTAAAGTTGCTCACATGGCAGCCTATGTTCAATTTTGTTTGAACCGTCTTCCTCAGTGAAATAATTCAAGAACTTATTAACATGTTTATGTCCACTTAAACCACCAGTGGCATGAAGGATCTAAACAAATTATCAATCTTTTTACTAATAAGATAAATGAAACAGCTGCCCAGTGAGACTGACGCATGTGTCATCAGTGTTCCAAGCCACCCAGCAGCGACACATACGATTTGCAGTCTACTGTGAACATGTTAAACTAACTTTTAGGGAGTCAGGCAGTGAATCTACAGTAGAAAATGTTTATATTCAAATATATACACAGTCACGTATCAGTTGACAACAGAAATCTCCCATGAAATGCATCACTTGGCAGTCTTGTGACCCGCAGACATCACATTATGACTTACACAAACGAAGCTATGACATCATTGAGAATCCGTGTTGTAAGGTCACTGTCATGTAAATGACCCACAATGACTGGAGCATTAAGTTGCATGTGAATATGCACATATATGCATACATTATATGTGATAGCTTTTTCTCAATACCATGATTGAAATACCTGGGAACTATAGGAAGAAACTAACTATAAGCATTTTAGAGGCATTTCTTTGGTTTCCTAACTATAGGCAGAGATGTTATATTCTGAAGAATCTATAGAAAAAGTGAGGATAATAGAAGAATAAAAATGTTGATATTTTTAAAACCAAACCTTACCTGCTCTCATGAATAGGATTTTAACCTCCTGCACTATATACCAGGTTTATAGGTAGACAGCAAATATTTCAGAGAATTTCAAAATATCTCAGGAGAAATATATTGTTTTAGTAATTCTGTCATGATTTCAGCACTATTTAAGTGCTAAATATTAATTTTTGAAATCTTAAATTTTAATTTTTGAAATCTTAAATTTTTATTTAGCTGAATTAAAAACTACCCCTACATATACACACATGCAGACTTGCGCACACATACATATATATGGAAATTTACTCACAGGCAAACTGAAGTGTGGCTTCTCTACTAAGAATACTTCCAAAACTGTTGGTTGCTAAACACTGATATTGGCCAGAATCTTTTGCTTCACTTGGATTACTTATAATAAAGGTGCCATCTATCAAACTGTAGCGATAATCACTTTCCAAATCAATTTGTGTTCCGTTCCGAAGCCATCTTAGGAGGAAGACAACAATGCACAAGTTACTTAAGACATTGGGATACCCCCTGAGAAGTTCTGAAGGTTTAAGAAAAGTGACAGACAGTGAATTCCCACCTGTAACTGGGAACTGGGTTGGCACGGACTTCACAGTTCAGGGCTACCTTGTTCTCATCAGCGTCAGTTGGGAAGACGACGCCCTCTGGTTCCTGTACAAACACTGGCCCATAGTCCACACTTTCTGTAAAGAGCCAAAGCACACACTTTAAAGTTCCTCAAAGTAGCAAACCAGTCTCAGTCACCTCATTACACTGAACTTTGTTTTTATTTAAATAAATAGGTGATTGAACACAGGAATAGCTGACAAATACACTGTAGTAAACTGAAGGCGCCTAAAAACATTTGGTGTTCACTAAAAATGCTCTTGTACATAGTAGAAGCAAATATGTAGTATAAGGATATGAAAGTACGTGTAGTGGAAAAACATTCGCATATTTTTGATGTGTTTTTCTTTTCATTTTTGCAAACAAACCTAAGAAAAAAATAAAACATTTTAAGAAACCTAAAGGTCTGTAAATCTATGAAAATTTCAAAACTAGTATATGCTAAAAAGTGACACACTGCTGTGGTGCTGATAAAGCTGCACAGGTGAAAACCGTGGTGCGGATGGGCTTTGGTATTTTTCTTCGCTCATCACTCAAGTGCAGTGAGTGCTAATGTTGCCATATAGCATAAGAATAATAATAATGCTGCGATGCAACCAAGTGTATTTTCATGGGAGAAGTATAACCTGTTTCCAAAAAAGTTTAGTAAAGATCAAAAATCTAAACACTTTAAAGGGTAAATATATGAAGAGACAAGAAGCAGAAAGACACAAGAGACCAAGGAGGAACAGCACTCCCATTCATTGCCTACTAGATTTCACATTTGAGATTCCATTTCATTTAGTTAGTTCTTACTCAGACAAATCCTAAGAAAAAGACAATTTGAAGCTAATGAAAAATTCATACAAAAATAGGAATAAGAACAGATCTCAAATGTCAGTCTAGCCCTGAGTGTAATAAAAAGTCTGCTGGAGACAGAGTGAATGAGAGGCCTGTGGGGAGGAGGCCATGTTCACCCACGGTCCTGTCAGAATGTTGAGCGTCGTGTGCACACCTGTGCCAGTGGTGACTTTGGGGAACAACAAGACTCCTCTCTGTGTTGTCACAGTTGTGTGACAGCTCTGCAGCTTGATTCCTCGATCACAGTACGTTGAAAGTCTGGGGTTCAATTTCTGTTACAGGCCCCTATCTTCTATACTCTATTCTATCGGCTGCATTTCCGGCTCCTCCTCACTTGATTCCAGAATTATCCTTCTCCAAACTGTAACAAGGGGAAATGCCTACACACATGGCTAACTGCATCCTGGCCAAACTCTCCTTTATTGGAAATCACTTCCTTATATAACAGAAGAGGGAAAAGTTCAGGAAATACACATTCCTAGAGTTTATAGTAAGTATTTAGAGATGTGCACCTTCACTGGATAACTGCGATGAGACTACAGGCATGTGACACCACCTGCTGTAAGCAGTGGAGGTTAGCTAGCTTTTTCTGATTTTAAGCTTTATGGTTTGAAAATTTTCAAAACAGGACAAGATCAATGAAAGTGTATCAGGTATAGAAGCCACAGAAAATCGGCTTAATTGTGGCCTGAATTCTGAGTTTCGAATCCCGTGTACTGTACCTATTATGACTGCCCATACTTTGCAATGTATCTTCTTGTTGGTCATTGTCAGCTGCCAAATATTCCAACGTTAGCCCTATTCACTGACTCTAGCATTCTATTTGTTTCTGCAGAGACAAGAATTCAGCCCAAATAACAAAAAACTGAAAGGTAAGATAATAATAAAGTATTCATGTGGTCATATTAAGCAGTATTTTTTTCCTACCCTACCTTCTCCCTTAGTTGTAAAATTTATTGCAAGATGTAGAAGAACATGTTATGCACACCCTTTCAGTCCTCAGCAAAGGGCCATGATGGCTCAACTCGGTCAAGGTGAGCTTTTAAAGTAGTATCAGTACAGACACACTCAGATGGATTTTTGGCTTATATTCTTGTGGTAGTATATTCCATATATGGGATCATGAGCATATATTGTTTAAAATCATATTCTTAACTGTTGTACATTTTCCTTGATGAAATTTACAATTTTTGGAGACAGATTTCAAAATCTATATGTATGTAAGGTATGGCAAAGATCTTGATATCCTATAAATTAATGTCTTTTCTTTACCAAGTAGAAATCTTTCTAACATTTATGTGACAGGAAGAGGCCATCATACACAATGTTCATTTCTCATAAGAATAATGTTTTGGTGTGTTTTTACTTTTTTAAAATTAATTAATTTATTTAATTGTGTGTGTGTGTGTGTGTGTGTGTGTGTGGCCAGATCAGCCCACCAGGGGGTGGGGTTGGCTGGCATGTGATGCTGGGGGATCGAACCACGGTCCCTGTGCTTTGCTAAGCTTGTTCTAAGTAGGTGCTTTGGACCACTGAGCCATCTCACCAGCCCGGTGTGTTTTTACTTTATTAGGTCTTTTATTAACATACTTCTAGATACCTATTTCTAATTGGCTGACGCGCAAATGCTAGTTATTGTCTGTGAAATGTCAGATTCATACCTCAAGAAGGAGCCTTATTTCAGAAGAGCAGTTTCAGAAATGATCTCTTTCTCTATGATACAGTATGATGAAGTTACCCTCATGTCTTCCCAACCCCTACATTTTTCTCATTTTGTTTTTTCACCATAGATCAGAGTTTCTTACTATCATTTATAGTGATATGTTATTATTTTTTTAAATGTATTTGGTACAGGGTCTCACTACATAGCTCAGACTCATAGTGTTCCTCCTGTCTCAGCCTCCCCCTGCACTGGGATTACAAGAGTGCGCCTCCACACACAGACTAGGGGGCCTGCTGGGGGCGGGGCCTGGGGGCGGGGCTGGCACAGCATGCCAGGGATTGAGCCCTGGTCCCTGCAATTGCCTACGCAGGCACTTAGTCTGCTGAGCTATCTCGCTGGTCCTGGCATGGTATTAAATAGTTATAATGCCTACTCTCCGTAGATTTCCTTATTTTTTCCCAGTGCAAAGCTCCAGAGTGCTATATTACAAGTAATATGACTAAGAATATCTATTTTGTACTCATACGGGCACTTTGGTCCTTATTTTGTATTTCCATGTGTTCACCTCTTATGACAGACTCATCTATTTAACAGCATGACTCTACTTTTGCTCTTTGATGACAGACTTCAAACCTCCCCAGATGCCTGTTCCCTTTCACCAGGCCTCTGGAAAAGTAGATATTCAGGGACTCTGGCGGGGAAATTCATACCACCCAAACGTCAGGACATCCAGAAAACTTCACCCTACCCCTCATTCCCAACAACAACAAAAACTAAGTTACTCATTCCTTTCCTCTCTCCAGTCACTGTCAGACCTGAAAATTCTCATCTCAGAAAGCCTGGTGACATGAACAACGACTTTCTCTTCCTCTTTAGACACAACTGTGGCACTATTTGCCATTGTATTTAAGCCACTTTTGGGTCTTGACTATGCTAGTTTCATCCATCGCAGGGAAAGCGCAGAGAAAGTTAGAGCTCCTGTTTCTGGGTAGAAGCCAGTAGGTCTTCAGTCAAGTGAAATGTAGTAGAAACACGGAAAGGCATATCCCTGGTTCACGCTGGACAGCTTTCTCATAGCTCAACGTCAGACAACAGGATACGTTACAGCACTGCTGCCGAACCTTTTAGAGCTTTCAACAATGACAAACAGCCTGACGTAGCACGCGTGCCACAGGTTCAGCACCCCTGGACCATGGCGCTTCAGGGGCTGTGCGAGGTGGCTGTGACTACAGAGGCTACGTGTACAGAGGCCGCTGCAAAGCAGCACACAGTGAAGGTGCTGGAGCAGTGTTGCAAGCCACACAATTATAAGGCATGTGCTGCTCTTCAGACACAAATCCCATTATGAACAACTATTTCTGTGCTCATTTTTAGAAAGAGTATGCCTAATGTCAGGCCCAGCCCTTTCTGCCAGCTGCTTAACTTTAACTTATGGTCCTGCCTAGTGTATTCATGAAATGTTACCTAAGGGTATTGGCAATATCATTTGGAGGAAATATCAGCCAATCAAGTCTAATACACTGATAAGAAGCAGTCTAACAAAACTTTGAAGGGAGCAGTAGAGATGCTGGCTGTGTAGAGCTTCAGGCTCCTGTCAGGAGAGTGCAATATTACACAAAGGAGATAACTATTATCTTTGTTTTAAACCTGCTTTCTTTCAAACAGCTATATTTCCCTTCTGTAAGCATGACAACGCCTTTCTGACACTTTCCTCCTTCATCAGGGTGATTTTATTATTATAATTATTTTAAACCTAGATTCACAATGTTTCTCAGACAATTAGTAGGAACTTCCATTGTTTAACAGTAGCTTATTGTTAACAAAGATAGTATTTTTAGACTGCATAACAAAAGTATTATTTCATTTCAATCATTCACATTTGCTGTAGCATAAGATGTATGTTTCCCATAATATAACCCACCATGCTCCTTCTTGTCACTGTCTCTCTTGATACACTTTTTATTAACATTGGAATAGATTTCTACATTCAGGGTACAGGGATCCAGTATCACTTCCCCCTAACAAACGAAACAGAGGCGTCCTTCTTTTGCTATGAGAGAATCCTGTGCTGTCCCAGTAATGACTGTGCACTTACTGGGCAGATCTGTGATGTTTTCAAGAAACAGAACACAACACAAAGGAGTCACAGGTGCACGTGAAGGCAGACACTGTGGAGATGAAAGCAGGCAGCAGCAGCCTCCTGACTGTGACGTAAACCAAGTGGCGCTGACCTCAGGGCTGGATCTCAGTGTCTCCAACAGCGGTGCTAGGCCTTGTACTCAAAGTAAGAGGGTGCAGGTGGCCGTGCCCACCAGTCAGTAAGACGTGAGCCCAGAGGAGAGAGGAGAGTCGGCTGAAATGCTTTCAGCACACAGGTGCCTGGACGTAACCCAAATTAGAAGACACACAGGAATGCTAACGCTGCACAAGAAATCAAAGTCAGTGCTAGGAACAATATCTTTTCCAACTAAAACAAATTTTAAATACTGTTTAATTCAATCTTGTAAATAAATGGTTTGAATATTCAAAATATAAATGAAGGAATAGATTATAATCATTAAAATCATAAAACATACAGGGTAAAAATGGAGAAGTTGAAATGAAAACAGAAGTAGTAAAAAATCTTGAAATATAGTAAATGCTAGTAAAGTTTCAGCAAATTGTGATGAAACTTAGACATAAAATTTAAGACATGTAAGAAGAAATTACATGGATGTAGATATTTTACACACAACAGAATAGCTAACATACATATACAGATGCAGTATTACAGAGGCAGATTTGAAGAAAAGAGGAGATTGGGCACCCTTGGAAAGAAAGATGGAAACGTCTGAAATTGTTTCTCAACTACTGAGAAAACAAAAAGTCACTTTAAGAAAACATGTAGTAAATTTGCAAAGTATCAAGAATTCGAAAAAAAATAGCTTGCAATCCATTTACAACAGAATGGCAAATTTGATAGTGGACTTCTTTACTTTATAAAAGAGAGAATAGCAGATAACTAACGTACTAAAAGAAAATATTAAT